TTTTGATTATATTTTGCAATAATGACTAATACACAGTGATTGTTCGACTCGCCTGCTAAAAAGGGACTGGTTGGGTTGAAAATTTTTGATCAAGAGATGTATTAACAGAAAAACCGGTTCCACTACCCTTTGTGGAATGGCCTGATATAAGGTCTGATTCATAGTCTGCAGAAAGACTAGTAGACAGTAGGTGTTTGACTCGCATGACTAGAGAGCGAGCGGTCGGTTCGGGGTCGGAGCATAGGGGTCAAGAAATTCCGGTAAAGCAACTTCTATACCAAAAAACCGGTTCCAGTGACTTCGTCAAGGCAACTGCCAAGATGATATGTATTCGACTGATGTACCTGATCATTACTTGATGTCAGGTGACCGTGAAATCGGACGCAGTNTGGAATGGCCTGATATAAGGTCTGATTCATAGTCTGCAGAAAGACTAGTAGACAGTAGATGTTTGACTCGCATGACTAGAGAGCGAGCGGTCGGTTCGGGGTCGGAGCATAGGGGTCAAGAAATTCCGGTAAAGCAACTTCTATACCAAAAAAACCGGTTCCAGTGACTTCGTCAAGGCAATTGCCAGGATGATATGCATTCAATTGATGTACCTGATCATTACTTGATGTCAGGTGACCGTGAAATCGGACACAGTCATTCCGAGGTTTTCCTAGAAGATGTGTGGGAGAGGTGGCGTGTTCGACTCAATTACATATTCATGGTGTGGGCAATGTGAGAAGTTGTTGGGCCTCGGTGATTTAGGTGCTCAAACGTTGGTCGTCATCGTTAATTCATAAGCTCCCTGACGGTGACAGTCGAAAAATTAAGTTGATACAAGTCGAGAGGAAGATAATGGTAGCATAGTTCGTGAGATCGACTTGAGAGGGTCAGGAACTTCTCTGAAGAAGCATAGGCGATTGGAATAGAGATTGCAGGGGATGGGTGTTATAGCAGTTAGCTCGAATTAACTGAAAGAGACTGATGAAATCTACATAAGATTCGATTAGGAAGGTGGAGTGAGTTTATAGTATCAGACAGTTCATGGATTACTTTTAACAAAGTTCATTACCAGTAATTTACCCAACGGTTTTCATTTGACTCATTTCCGCAGCAAGTTCTCATCACTCATAGCTACCTGCCATCCTAAGTTGCTAGTCGAGCGACATGCCGTTCGAGCCCGATGTTCGTCACCCACAAGCCCGACCCCGGTATGGAATCTTGCGCTGGCTCGGGACAAGAATCTTCCGCACACATAGAGCACCAGGTTTGCTCTAAAACCCTTGCACGAGGCTGATTCCGTTGTGACTAAGCTGATGGCCGGTGCAGCTGAAAAAAGTGGAAGAAGTTAGAAAAAATCGGGAAGTTCGCACCCGCATGGTTCGCGACGTCCCTAGTGTCGCTCTAGGAAACACTGCGGTAATGAGTACAAACGAATATCGTACTGTTATCGTGCAAAAGGGTCGATATATTGATTTGGTGACTTCATGGATCCCCTTTAATTGCAAGCATCAACCCTTACCTACATATAAGCGTTTGACTTGATCTCGTCGAGAGCTGTACCCGTTAGTCAACTTGGCTTTACTCTAATCCAACCAGGTGTCAGAAAATCGCTAACCTTTCGATTTTTTCCCAGAAATGATTTTTAATCTCTAATGTGCGGTTGAGATTAAGATTCAAGACTCGATTAAGTGCGGAGTCTTAGGATAGGAGGCATTCAGCAAAGTGCTACATCGGATAAAAACTTTATATTAAGAGGAAGAAATGGTATCCTATTCTTAGAATATTACTACATACAATAGTATAAAAGATAGATTTCTTTGAAAGGAAAAGCCAATCAAGCATAAAGCATAATGAATGAAGTCGGAAAAGATATAGTCATGTGCGTGAAAAAATGTCATCAAAAAAAANAAAAAAAAAAATGAAGAGGCGTGTGGGGGAGGTAGGGATGTATGGGAGAAGGGGGATGGGGCAGGGTAATGAATGGGAAGAATGCAAATGAAACTTCTCCTGAGGAATGCAGAAATTCTAGAACTGGAAAACCTTTTCAAGTTAAATAAGTGAGCACATGAAAGAAGGAGCATGCGGGGGCTTCGTAACGAAATCTGTGATGTTTCAGTGAACTGACTTGATTTTCCCTCAGGGGAAGAGGGAAAGGTTCAGCAAATTGAACGCAACGATAGGAGATACACCTCAATCTCGTTCAACTCTCTGTATTCCAGAAAGAAATTTGGATTTATTAAGCTGACTTGGAGTAGAAATGCAATTATTACAGTAGTGAATGGGCGGAGCTTAATTGACTATTTCCGGAGAGCTTGAAAAGGGAGCTCAGTTCAGAAGTGGAAAAATGAAAGTAGGAGGGAGACGAGAAGAGTATCCTTCTTAAGGAACTGGGTGGTCTAGTTGGAGATGTGCGAGTCGGTTGCAATTAGTGTGCGCACGAGACTAACCAAATAATGTCGCAACAGGAGAGGAATGATCCCCCTCTCCCTTGCCTTTGGTTGTCCCGGCATCAAACTGCTGACGATGTTTGAAGCCTAGTAGAACCTGACTCACGATTTCTCGTTAACTGAAAGTGGCCCATCTGCTTCACGGAGAGGTTCGACTTCATAGACGATTAGAATCACAATTCAAATCAAGCTTGTTCTTCTCGTTGATGGTTATGACTCGAAGAGGGGTTTCAGACGAAATGAACCGGTTCAGAGACAAAGCTCATAACAGGAACTACCCCTGTTGCTGTAAGATTAAACACCTTACAGGGTTAATGAGGAACTCTAGTAGAAACGCTTAATGAGGGCAACTTTATAGGTTCTGCCCTTTTTGCTTCTTGGAACTTGTTCTCCAGGAGTTCCCTTGGCACTCCTGAGAAGTTCCCGTGGGAAGAAGGCGATTCCTCAAGTGGAGAGAAGCCTCCCTAGAAAAGATATCGGAAGGAATGAAGAGGAAAAAGCGACGGATAGTAACTTTCCTAGGGGACACCACTCCCTCCAATCGTTTTTCACGATACGGCAGTACAACTATACATCCACCTATTGATCTAGCAATTTGCACTAGAAAACCTCTCACTGTGCGTTTATACACGGAATGAGCTGTTCGTTAAGGAAGGGAGCGATTATATTAAAAAAAAGAAAAAATGTGACAATCGAAGGGACGTCGCCGAGCAACGGGGAACGGACAAAATTTAAAGGGAGATGACTAAGAGGGGAAGTTTGTGGATAGGAATCGTGCTCACATACGTAGCCGTAATTAATGCCACTCCCACACACGCTACCACTTCTTCTCGCTTCACTCCTACAAACCAATTCATGGAGGCAGAAAACACGTACTGCTTTGATTGCAAAGTAATGCAACTCCCATGAGAGAGCTCCAATTTCATCTGAAAACCCAACAATTGGATGAATAGGTAGGGGAAGTGGGTGACCATTTGAGGAACCCCTTCTCAGATCGGTCGCTCTGCCTAGGTCCAGGTTAGAAGTACAGAAACGAGGGTGGCATGATGATTTCAATTCCGGCGGAAAAGAATAGCCAAAAATATAAATTTCAAGTAGTACGGCTCATCGGTGAGAGAAACGGGACTGATAGTTGCTGTGGGTAAAAAACTGAACCAGTTCTTATCAATTCCAGAGGGGTATGCCATGCACTCGGTTTGCACTCGGAAGTTCGGAGAATCATGAATGACCCAGTGACTTAGGGCTCACTAAACGCATGTCATTAGTTAGTTAATCTCCTTGTTTTGAACTTCCCTAGTAGAAAAGCAGGCTTCACTGAGCTGGAAGTAATTAGGTTACGGGCTATGTGGTCGAATACTTCAGTGCCCTAGTCGTGGGGTGAGCTGGAAGCTTACTTTCGGGTGTGTGTAGTAATTATAGGGAGATACAGGTAAACTATTTATTACAGCTTTAATGGATAGTATTATCATTTTACCTGAAAAAGCAGGATAAAAGTTTGGGTAGTAGAATGGATAGGGGAGGGAAAGGTATGGGAGAGCCAGTAGAATGTCTTTCTTGAACAACAAAAGCTCTGCCAACTTGTGTGCAACTTACTTAGGATAAAACCCTTTTGTATTTAAACGGTGGTATCAATTTGTACAGCATTCATTTGTTAAAGCCATTCCAAAGGTGTTTTTGTCAATTAAATGGCTTTGTAGCTTATGACTAGGTTGTGTAGAGGTTTTCCTTCTCAACTTCTTAATGAATAGCAAAGATCACTATTTCTTGAANGAATGACTTTCTTGAACAACAAAAGTTGTGCCAACTTGTGTGCAACTTACTTAGGATAAAATCCTTTTGTATTTAAACGGTGGTATCAATTTGTACAGCATTCATTTGTTAAAGCCATTCCAAAGGTGTTTTTGTCAATTCAATGGCTTTGTAGCTTATGATTAGGTTGTGTAGGATTTTTCCTTCACAACTTTCTAATGAATAGCAGAGATCACTATTTCTCGAAAAGGAGCATTCCCTTCAGAAGGCAATTTGTATGGGAGAAAATGAGTTGGAGAAATTGTGGGATACCAAATCGTAGTAGCTTTCGAATGTGTGTTTAGCATAAACAACAACATCTTTCTCAATTGGTTTTTGTAAATCTACCTACAAATCTTTTCCTCTCCTTTATGAGTCAGTCTGTTACTCTAGCCTGACTATTAACCCAAGCGGGTTATGTGGGATGAAATTGCCATTTGGAATAGCAATGAGCTTTCAAGAGCACCGGTAAGCATCGGTAATAGTGAGTTCAATCACAAACAGCTATTCATCAGTCATACACCATCGCCGAAAAAAAGTTGAGCGAGGGAGGGGGAACTGCAGTGGCGCAGACGACATTCCTTGAGTTTTTTCAAAGTGCTATCTAGAGAAGAGCCAGATTAAGACTAGTTGCACAAGTGCCAGCTGACGCGACCGAAGGTCGTTAGAGTTGCAGAAGCTCTTTTTTCAATCCTAGCAGCTGAGCAAGGGCTCCCAGACATATTTTTTCCGGAGTGCACCGAAATGGATAAAAAAAATGCTGCAGAACTGCTCTCACAAAACGAGTTTTTTCTTCTGAATCGAAAGCTTTTCAACAACAGAGTCTCTCGAATTTTCAGCAAAGCGACGCAGATTTCCTTCAAAGACAGTCAGTTGGTAATAGAATTCTTTATTTCTGACTATCATACAAATCGCCCGAAATTGTTGCGGGGATTTCGGCAATATTAGAGTTGCCCAAGAGAAAATGAGTATCGGAAGCGATATTGCGGAGGATTGTGGGTTGGAACGAGAAAAAGTGGAAGCGTCAGTGGAAAACAGCAGGACGAGGGTCTCGTGTCTGAGTTGTTCAGGTGATGCTTAAACTGCGAGGCCGATTCTCGCAGTTCTAGGCCTCATCAATTTCCAGTAGGCGATAGGCATGAAAACAAACAGCACAAGAAATTGGTAAGTCGTTCGCCCTGGGACAAATCAGGGACAGAGTTCGGGATGGTTTTAAAGACCTTCGCGCTACCGGTAAGCGCCTAATTTTGGTCTGAACCAGAAAGTAAGTTCATTCCTGTCTGTACACCTCCCCTAGCGTTAGGCCATGTACCTTCCGTCTTTCTACCTGGGAATCCTCTGCATACAGCTCAGATATCTCAACTATCATTTATCCTATCCATTGCCTTCGAATACTGAATCGCCCTGAAAGAGGTATGGTGCCGGAGACCTCACATCGAGCCGAGGCTGCTCCGCCCATCACAGGCGTCTCCTCCCTCAGTCCAACTATTGTCTAGACATCTTTAAGAAAGCAAAGACAGCCAGACAGCTGAGCCAATCCATTGTTTACCTATGTGCCTGTAGCACTACCTAATTACAATTTCGACATTAATTTTTTTTTTCAATTTTGCTACAATAATAAAACATTTTTTCATCTCAAACCCAATGCCCATGTACATAAAGAAAAGGTCCTAGTGCAGCAAGTCGGGAGCATAATCCCATGGAAAAATATCACTAGTGGGAATTATTCCAGGAGAGATATATTCTGGAGCAAGAGCCTTTTATATCAAAGACTGAAGGGTCCGGAATGGGAAAATTCAGAAAAAAAATGAAAAGGTACCTCTGACTATCACGTTTCTGCCCGCCAGGAATCGTACGTCAGCGTTTTCGGGAATAGCTGATGAAGAACGTTCAATGAAAATCTCCACGTCGTTTACGTTCAAGCCTCTGGCACGTAGCGGTTCTGTAATGCCGAGGATAATCCGTGGGATGAGCAATCGTTGATAATCAAATAACAACTTCCATGATCGCCTACGTCAACGGAAATCCTTCATTCACACAAACACACGAACTCACTTCCTTCTACCTCAAAACATCTTAAAAATTGAGTAATACAGTGTTGTTTCGAGGAACCAAATTTCCAGAAAAGCGGGCAATGGAGTGGTTAGTGAAGTGTGGGAGCTAAATGTGAAATTTTTCAGTGGAATGGTGGAGTTCAACGGAGGAAAATGTGTGTGCTGGGCTATTTGATCTTCAGGTTACGCCGAACATTTGACATTCTTTTCCAACCGAAATGGGATATGAATAGGTCCTTGTCGAAAAAATATTTGCCAGCACTTTCTGCCTCATCGGTGAACCTGTTGCCTACCATTTAGCCACGGGATGATGTAGTTTGTGATTTTTGAGTGAGAAGCAATCTGGGATTCGATACTTGGACTGGATTAGAACTCCACGTGCGGTGACTGCGCCACTTGCCCTTGCCCCATCCTTGGATAACTAAAATCACACATTTAACCATGGCGCTTGTA